TCATGCACATTGCTTCCACCTCACACAGTGCCCCCTGATCAGTGACTGTCCTTGAAATACAGTCCTCAGTTGTGGAAAGACTCAGGTTTATCTTTGGTAAATAGCAGATATTGTTCAAGGACACTTGCATTTGAAGGGGGAGCCCCTTCTGTCTTCTGTCTTGTTGGACTTTCCCTCCATGTCTTCTCCTTGTTGGATTGTTTTCTCAAGGGATGAACACTGATTTTAAAAAGTGCCATGTTTGCTCCTATTCTGTTGCCGGTTGATAATCTAAAGTGTTCCCTGATAATACTTAAGGACAAAAAAAACCCTATTTGATGGGCACATTTGGGATTTTTGTTTTTTAAAAGAGATAACAAAATATTGTCTTATTAAGGAGGCTTATTACCATATATTTTTTAGAATGCTGAAATAAGTAGGGATACCAAGAAATATTTGGATGCAAAGAGGATTTCTAAAATACAGCGTTTAACATCATAAAAGAGTTTTAAGAAATGTATCATTAAGAGTACCATTTAAAACCTAAATAGTTCTGGGAATTTATTTGATATCAATTTCTGTGTTGGTACTTTGGTTTAATTTATGTCAACAACTTCTTGAGAACTTATTTTTGTCAATGTGTGAATTTTATGATCTGGATGCATTTAAAAACTCTTTTTATTCTTTGTCCTGATAACAAATAATAATATTCTTCTATTTTACCTTATACTATTACCTTATACTATACTATCCACGATCGCGGATTTCTGTCTGTCGCCGAAGAGACTTCAAACCGAATGTCCCCAATTGAGCCCAAAATTTCTGTTGCTAAGTGAGATAGTTAAGTGAGTTTTGCTCCATTTTACAACCTTCCTTGCCACAGTTGTTAAGTGCATCACAGAATAACAGGGAAGAGACCTTGGAGATCTTCTAGTCCAATCCCCTGCTGAAGCCAGATAACCTGATCATTCCAGACATATGATTGTCTAGTCTCTTCTTAAAAACCTCCAGTTTTTCCTCCACAACTTTCAAGGCAAGCCATTCCAATTGTATCACTGCAGTTGTTAAGTTAGTAACACAGTTGTTAAGTGAATCTGGCTTCCCCATTGACTTTGCTTGTCAGAAGGTACCAAAAGATGATCACATGACCCCAGGACAATGCAATGGTCATAAATATATGCCAGATGTCAAGGGTCTGAATTTTGATCATGTGACCACAGGGAAGGCGCAGCAGTCATAAGTGTGAAAACCATCATAAGTCATTTTTTTCGGTGCTGCTGTAACTTTGAATGGTCACTAAATGGATGATTGTAAGTCTAGGATTTCCTGTATTGGTGCAGGATTAGTAGGATAGTTGTTTTGTCAGAGCCTTAGTCTGCCATAGAATTTCTGCGCAATGAAACATGAAGCAACAATGAAATAATTTCCCCTTCACAAACTGCAGCCCTACTTTATTTCTCTCTGAAGAATTAGTAATTGCTCAGTTAACTCAGAAGATAACAATGCTTGTTTTGCTCACTTAGTTCCCAGCATACATGTCTTATCTGTACACCATAAAGCCTAGGACAGAAATGCTGCTTAAAGAAGACTAACTATCCACTGAAGGACAGTGTGTCTCTGTCTCCCGCTCTTCAGAAATATCAGACAGGGTCAGCAATAATTTAATGGTCATTATGATACCTTAACTAAGGACTTTACACTTGTTAAGATAGAGAGCATAATCCAAAAAGGAAAGGCGAGCCAGATAGGAGAGGCTATAACAATTGGGTGCATAATTTTATTTTTCAATTTTAAAAAAACCCTTTCAATTAAATAAAAACATTCTAACTTATCCAGTGTTTCATAAAACCAATAGGTTCTTTCTCAGAGAAATATAAAACTTGAAGAAAACCAAAGAAAAGAAATGTCATTGTGCAACCATATATTGCTGTAGTTTTCAAGAGATTTAAAGACAATTTTTGTTAGAATGTTAAAAAGCTTTCTTTAATATTATTAATATTAATAATATTATGGTCCCCTATATTATTAGAAGATTATCCCTGTTCCACTGGAAAACTTCAACAGAAAAGACAGTAAAGCAAAAATGAAATATAACTCTTCATTTCAGACATGCTGCTCTACCTCTCACTGAAGATTTAAAGGATGGGGCGTTAATCACAAAATAGCTATTTACCTAGGGCATTTGGTTTCTTGTGCACTTTCTTGCTCTTATGAATTTCTGGAGAAATCCCACATAGAAAAAAATGACTGGAGAAAAAACCAAATTCTCATGCAGACAACTATATTGCATTTCCTTGTCTCCTTCTAGATCAGATTCTCAATCCTGATAGTAAGTCGGCAGGAGGAGAGCTTCAGGGCACTTAATTCTCTATGCAAATCTGCATTTCTGTCCCAGCTTGGAAGAGACAAAAACATGCTGACTCATCCTATTTACAGCAGGTTCTTAAGTTCTTGGTATCTTTCTTTATAAATATGGCTTATCAAAAGTCCTTGGATTTCTTCTGACTGGTTCATTCTTCTTGCGGAACACCACCTGAGCTGTTGGAGACTCCTTCTACCACTGCGTGTATGTATGACTGTGTGTTTTCCATGGCTTGCTGTTGTATTCTCTCCCTCTGCTGTACTTATTTCAGAGAAGCTTTGTGTCTTTTTGCTCCATGATGCCTTCCTTTCCTTTGTGATCTATATTATTTTTATTGTATTTGAACACCAGGAGTTCTCTGGGAAATGGACAATCAGTTAAAACTTATTATAATAAAAGGAATAATCATATGTAACAACAGTACAAAGATAATAAGAATTTATTTACTTTATTTGTATAACATATAAAAATTCAATTTCAATCAAATAGTCTGTTGTCTGGGTACAGTTGTTTTTAGGCAATTATGATCAAAATGTTTACAACAGCCTTCATCACAATAACATTAATACTATAATAACAATAATAATTAGCTTGTCTATTTTAACAAATTTCCATTTTAATATTTATCCTTTTTATGTCCCTGCATTTCTAACTTCTGTTTTTATTGTCTAACCATTGATAAAATAAGTCCCATGTCAAAAAGTCTTCAGTTTCTTCTTTGTCCTTAATAGTTAGTTTATCCATTTCAGCATATTCGAATATTTTCTTAATTACACTCTCATCTGTCGGGATCTTGTCACATTTTCATTGTTGAGCATATACAATTCTAGCTGCAGTTAATACATGTAAAATCAAGTATATAGTCCCTTTGTCATATTTTCCCAGCAGAATGCCCAATAAAAATATTTCTGGTTTCATGTCTATATGCTATTTTATCATGTTTTCCAACCAAGTAGTTATTTTTGTCCAATATTTTTTGGCTTTTGGGCATGTCCACCACATATGGTAATATTGCATTTCCAACATTTAGCAGATCTACCTTTATACTTTTTTGCCACTCTTATTGGTGCAAAATGCCATCTATAGAATATTTTGTACAAATTTTCTTTATATGCAGTTACATAATCAATTTAACATTTCTATCCCACAAATTTTGCCATTTGTTAATTCTATTTTCTATCAGCCCAGGGAATTCCTGTGTGATACCTATATGCCATGTATTGTAGCTTGCAGAGCTATACTTAAGCTTGCAGAGATCAGTAGGGAGCAGTTGCAAACCAAGGGTTAGAATTCAACATTCTGTTTCTCCCAGAGATTTGAGGTTAAGTATAATAGAGCTCTGAGTCTATGCCAAAAAGTCTCATTAAAGAATTGGAGAAAATGAACCATATCGTATAAATAGTTTATGAATGTGAAGGGGAGACAAAAATCACAGAAACAGGAATTAGATTTTTTTTTCTATTATGGAAACAGTTTATAAAAACAGGATATTGTTCCTATTGATCGAATTTCAACCAATACCAGTCTCATGCCAAAAAAAAAAAAAAAAAGGAAGGAAGGAAGGAAGGAAGGAAGAAAAATGAAAGATAAGTACATGAGAAGATCTTTCTACTTCTTTAGGCAATTGTACAATTTGAAAATGTGGGCAAGGTATTTTTAATCAAATCATGCTCATACTAACAGAATGCATTAAGTGAAAAAAATATCAAGGATTTGCTTTTTAGAGTGGATACTAAAACCATAGGTATTGTTTATTTCTAGCAAATTCTTATTGCCTTTTCATTTTAAGTTCTAATTTTTAAAACCTACCTGAATCTTTCTAAGAGAGCGCTCTTATTGAATTAAAAGAAGCTGAAGGAGGACAGTTGACTTGCTCCATCTGCTTGCTTGGAGAGTGTAGAAGCCTTAGGGGAAAAGATCAATATATAAATATTCTTGAGTTATAACCATCAATTTAGTGACTGACAGCACTAGACAAATGGACTTACAACTGGTACTTGCACTTAAAACTGTTGCAGCATCCCTACAGTCACGTGATCAAAATTTGGACGCTTAGCAATTGGCAGGTATTTATGAGAGTTGCAGTGTCCCAGGCTCATGTGATTGCTATTTGCGACCTTCCCAGGCACTTCCCAACAAGCAGTCAATGTGGGAAGCCAAGTTCACTTAACAACAGTTATTAACTTAACTACAAGTTATTTTCTTAATAATCGTTGTGAAAAAGGTTGTAAAATAGGGTGTGACAACTGTCTTATTTAACAATGGAATTTTGGTCTCAGTTGTGGTTGTAAGTTGAAAATATGACAAACATGGCAGCAAAACTTTAAGCTGACTTAATCATAGACTGCATTTATATTTTTATTTTACAGAGCCACACAAATGTGCCACTGCTGCCTCCTAAATCAAAAGGAAAAATTTTCCAAGTGTGTGCATTGATTAAAAATAAACAATAGAATCCTGCGTGATTTTTCCAGATTTTCACTGGTGGAAATACAGCTGAAATCTACTTCAGCAACATATTAATTCTCTTATTTGTACAACAAATGTTAGTTGGACAGGCTGTGGTTATCTGTTGTTTGCTGTGTATTGATTCGATTTGGTTTTCAAGAATCTGTGGAAGCAAAATATAATAGCTCATTCCTTTCTGTTGCAGAACAGAATGGCCAAAAGAGTAGCCATCATCGGAGCTGGGGCGAGTGGCCTTACGGCCATTAAATGCTGTTTGGATGAAGGTCTCCAGCCAACATGTTTTGAGAGAAGTGAGGACATAGGGGGGCTATGGAGATTCCAGGTATGTTTTCTCATAGGCAATATTGACTGTTCTGTAACCACCCCATCAACTAGCCTCACTAGAATGCTTCTTTTTTGTTGTCTTCAACAACCAAGTATTCCTCTTTCTCTCAGCAAATAATTTTTTCTTCAAGAATCTCCTACTTTGGACTCTGCTCATTAGGGTGACATTTCCCCTTTTATCTATCAAGAGATACCTAGTTAATTAACTATTAATTGTATGGATAGGAGAGAAGAGAAATAGATAGATAGTACATAAAAAACAATGATCTACTTTGTAATATCCAAATATGAGGTAGTTGATCATCGGTGCAACATCAGTAAGATGAATAGGAAAATTGGATGTAAGATTTGTGTAGCTGGGGAGCTTTTGACTGTTTAACATTTGTGTCCAGATTGTGTGCATTTTAAACTGTTATATTTAGCATGAAAATCAGAAGTTTCGGAACCTTTTCTGAAGAGAACTTTTTGTGGCCCAAATATTCTGATTCTACAATTTAAATAAACAGGCTTTCAGCAGCCTCTTTGGATTATTTTAAATTAACACAATGCTATATGAACAAATGTCTTTCCTTTTTTGTAAATCTGAAGTGCTCTAGATGGGCACAGAGACAATATGCTGGGTTTTTCTTCTCGGTTTGTGCCAAAATGTAACTCTTTTAGGTATAGAATTATGCATGTGATTCTAAGTGTAAAACATTAGGTTTTATATGGCTGTTTATATGACTATGGCACTCTCTTAGCTGTGTTCAGCCACTGTGTACAATTTTTTTTCTTTTTTACTGTTTTGATCATGGTTAAATAACTAGTTAATAGTTAAATACATTGGAACTTGATATATTGTGCTTTTTTTTTTTTTTTCATTTCCAGTATGGTATATGGTCAGACATGTTTTTCAAAGTACTATTGGGACTTGAAGAAAACATAAATTAGACAAGAAATCATCGTGAGGATTCATGGTCAACAATTTAGGCCATCACCATATTGATCTGTCTTCAAAAATCCTCTTATTAACGTGAAAAATTTCTTGCAGGAACATGTCACTGAAGGCCACAGCAGCATTTACAAATCATTGACTACAAATAGTTCAAAGGAATTGATGAGTTTTAGTGATTTTCCTATTCCTGAGGAATACCCAAACTATGTGCATCATAGTAAAATGATGGAGTACTTTAGGATGTATGCAAAGCAGTTTGATTTGATTAAGTACATACATTTCAAGGTAAGAAACTGAGAATCGAGATTTTGCTGGGAGGATGAGTGGATATCTTGGTAGTAAATGTAGTTGCAGGATACAAAATGCAGAGGTAACTATAAAGAGCTCTTCAAACAGCTATATCATATAAAATGGAATTAGCAAAGTGTAATAATGAAAGTTCAAAAGATAAAACTCTAGAAAAATATAATTTTCTAAGAATCAGTTTTTATGAACATTACCGTAATAACCCTTCCCCACAAGACAATAAAATGGCATTCTTCATTAAGATGCTGCCTATAACTCTCTTAGAACTTTGCACTTCAATAGAAATTTTATTAAAGATTATAATTACAACAATAAAAAGATATAAAAGTGAAAAGAAAGAGTAGAAATTTCAGAAAAAGAGAAAAAGAAAGAGAAAAGAAAGAAAGATAGGAATATAGTAAACTTTTCTTAACTCTCTTAGAACTTGGAACATGTAAGGCACTGGTTTCTATTTGAACAAGCTCCTGCTATCCAGGGACTTGGATAATTCTGTCTAATCCTAATCCAGATTTTGGTAAATCCAAGAGAAAAAGACTGAACCTGCAATCATTTGTATCTAGAGCAGAGGTGTCAAACTCGCATCATCACAGTGGAGTCACGTGACATATTGGGACTTTTTTTCCCCCTTTGCTAAACCGGGCATGGGCATGGCCAGTGCATGATGCATCTGGCCTATGGGCTGTGAGATTGACAGCCCTGAACTAGACTTTTCTCTTACCTGTAAACTTACTGCAAGAAGTCCCATTTGTAATTATTTATAATTAATAATTAACAAGTAAGTAACAATTGAAACCATCATCATAGTGTTTAACTGTTGGATCAAATTACTCTTTTCCTGGTCTGAATAACATCATTTGTTAAAAAGCAAAAGTAACTCAGCCTTTGTTGTTTTATATAAGCATCTCAATAGCCCAAACTAGATCCTCAATTCACAAATAAGCTATTACAAACTGTTCCATTATCCCCAGGATATATTCAAACAGTACCCTTGGATAATTAATCCCCAGTTTAAGAATCATTGGACCACTATAATTAACTTCAAGGTGACAGACTTGAACAAGCAGGCCCCAAAATACAGATCATTCAGGAATCACCAAGCGACCTTGTAATAAATACCAGAGATGACCGTGATTTTCAGTTTTTGGTTTATTAGATCACCCCAAATATTTATATGCTTGATTCCTAAGGGGCACCTGGTTCCATACTCCATTTCAGAGGTGGTATTCAGCAGGTTTTGACCAATTCTGGAGAACCGGTAGCGGAAATTTTGAATAGTTCAGAGAACCGGCAAATACCACCTCTGACTGGAGATTTTACAGTATCCTTGCCCTGCCACGCTCACCAAGCCACGCCCACAGAACCGGTAGTAAAAATATTTGAATCCCACCACTGCTCCATTTGAATAGGTGCATAAAGCTGGTCTCTATTCTAGAACTGATGAAGTCCAAAGAGGAATATTAACGGTAAGAATTAAGCAAGTATATTTCTGGATATTTTGAACCAGCCTTGTTCTCTTTACTTTACTTCAAGTGCTTCACTTATCACTGTTAAAAAAACTCCATGAACCTGAATCTAAAAAGAAGTATCTTTTATCTTAAGGCTCAAGTCTGCCATTTAAGAAAATGCACAGATTTCCCCATCAGTGGACAGTGGGAAATTGTAACAGAAAAGAACGGGAAGCAGGAAACAGCTATCTTTGATGCTGTTCTACTTTGCACAGGCCTCTATATGCAACCTTATTTTCCTCTGGACTCATTTCTAGGTAGGAAATTGTGATTTTCTTATAAGCTAATTGAGAATGCTGATTCAAGCAGAACATGCAAAATAATAATATATTTCATTCCATTATTCATTAGGAGTTAAACACAGATCTCTTTTAAATTGAGTTCCACATGTAGTGCTTTCCTAGACATATTCACAGAGTTTGTATTGTCTTCCTGGCAAATATATATGTTTGTGTGTGTGTGTGTGTGTGTATGTGTATGTATATGTGTGTATGTGTGTATGTATGTATGTATGTATGTATGTATGTATGTATGTATGTATGTTTTCTGAGGTTTTCTCAGGTATTTGTATGTGGATCTTTGGTTATTCAGGTTTTCTCCCGTATAAAATTGGAAATGTCTAGGCGACGTTTCGATGACGTCTCATTCATCATCTTCAGGCTTGTGCCTTCGGCTTTGTGCTTCTCAGAATAATGTGAGCTTGCAGCTGCTTCTTCCTTTTAACTGCTAGTGAGGGTGTGACTTGATTGGGTGGGGGCTTGGTTGTGTTCTGATTGGTTGGGGGTTTGGCTGTGTTCTGATTGGCTGGGGGTGTGTTCTGTTCAGGTGGGGGCTTGGTTGTGCTCAGGTTAGTCTTAGTTGCTGGGGGATTTGAGCTGGTGAACTGTGATCCTATTGTTTGGCTTCGCGTTCGTGGTCATGCAACATCTTCATGGTGGGCATCAGTTCGCTTCATGTATGGTTCGGAGGGGTTTGAAGCGGGTAGTGATGCAGCTGCGGTACAGCTTCTGGTCCGTGGTCGTGTCTTATCATCTGTGTGGGTGTGAGCCTGCTTTCTACGTGGAAGTGTGGTGGTAGCATCTTGTGTGGCCCTCGTGGGTGTGGGTCTGGTGTCCTTCTTCATGTTAGGTACTCGTTTGTTAATGAGGGCGGGTTTCCAGGTGGCTGGTAGGCGGGATGTATCATCTCATTTATTCATGCTGTGTGGGTGCTTTTCTATCTCTATGGCTTCTCTGATTATTCTGTTGTTGAAGTGTTCGGTTTTGGCGATAGTTCTGGTATTTTTAAAGTCAATCTCATGTCCTGTGGCTTTGAGGTGTTGGACCAGGGAAGAGATCAGTTCTTCTTTTTTGATTGAGTTCTTGTGTTCTTCAATGTGTGCACTTATTCTTCTGTTAGTTTGTCCGACGTATGTGGTGGGGCAGGCGGTGCAAGGGATTTCATATACTCCTTGGTTTTCTAACTCGATTTTGTCTTTAGGGTTTCTTAGGATGGTGGATATTTTTCTGTTTGTACAGAATGCTGTTTTAATGTTGTGTTTTTGGAGAATCTTGCTGATTTTGTCTGTAGTGCCTTTTATATATGGGAGGAGGGCTTTGCCGTTCTCTTGTTCTCTGTCTTGGATTTTGGTTGGGGTTTCTTTTTGGATTAGGTGGGTAATCTTCTTTCTTTGGAATCCATTGGCTGTTAGTATGTTAGTGAGAGTGTGTAGTTCAGTTTTTAGGTGTTGTTTGTCAGCTAAGCATTTTGTTCTGGAGATGAGTGTCTTGGCTACAGAATTGATCTGTGCTGGGTGGTGGTGTGAGAGTGCGTGTAGATAGCGGTTTGTATGTGTTTTCTTCTGAGAGATGGTGTGTCCTAGGGAGCCACTGGATTTTTTGTATACTAAGACATCTAGGAAGGGAAGTTGATTGTTGGCTTCTGTTTCCATGGTGAATTGTATTTTGGGGTGTAGGCTGTTGAGGTGTGTGAGGAAGTTGTTCAGTTTTTCTTTCCTGTGTGGCCAGATTTGAAGGTATCATCTATGTATCTGAGCCAGAGTTTGGGTTTGTGATCATATTTTTCTAGAGCTTTTGTTTCAAAGTGTTCCATGTAGAGGTTTGCGATGGCAGGTGAGAGGGGTGATCCCATGGGTGCTCCTTCTATTTGTTTGTACTTTTGTCTGTTGTAGGTGAGGTATGCATTGGATAGGCAGTGGTTGGTCAGATCTAGGATGTGCTTGGAGGGGTTGTATTTGTTTTGGATGGCTGTCAAGGCTTCTTTGATAGGCACTTGGGTGAAGAGGGATATGACATTGAAGCTCACTAGTAGATCGCTGGGCTGTAAGTTTTGTAAGCTTCACATGTACAAAACTCCAAATCACAAATGTGTCATCGATGTATCTTAACCATAGTTTGGGTTTGTGGATGGCATTGGCCAGGGCTCTGGATTCGAATTCTTCCACGAACAGGTTTGCAATGACGGGTGACAATGGTGATCCCATAGGGGCTCCTTCAATTTGTTTGTATCTTTGTCCTTTGTGTTGTGGCTCCGGGCTTGGATTCAGCTCCTGTGATTGATATGAGTTCAAGTGAAGAGGTTACGTCAGAACAATTTGAACCAGCCTGGCTTACTGATTGGACTGATAACCAGGATGAGGAGATGGACGTGACAAAGGACGACAAACCTGATGTATTAGAATTGTCAGGACCTTTGATCTCCTCTGGTTCTTTATCTGATGAACAGCCGGGAATGGCTGACAGGGAAGTTTTGAGAGAGTCTTCTAGTGGAGATGAGAACTTGGAAAATTTGTGGTTAAATGTAAAAAATAGAAGACGGTTGAAAAGGCAAAATCAGCTGGAGCAAATGAGAAGAGCAAGTCAGTAAATTAGCACGTTGCCTTAATGAGTATAAAAGGACACAGCTGGGCTGGTGCATTTCGCCAGAAACAAAATGACTATTTGAGTGAGGACGTTACAGCAAAGAGCTCTGAGGCTGAGGATTTATTGCCAGGACTGGTTTGCCGGACAGAGTAAGATTTATGCTGTGGTTTCTGCCAGCCGTTATCTAATAAGACTTCTTTCCATTTGATTTAATTGTGAAACGGCTGCTTTCTGTTTTGTTCGTTTGAATTTCGAAGGGGAGTCATAACACCTTTGTATATGAAATATGTGTTGGTTAAGCAGTGTTCTGTTAGTTCCATGAGGTGTTTAGCTGGTTGGTATTTATTTTTGATGATTTCAAGGGTCTCTTTTATCGGGACTTGAGTGAATAGTGAAACCACGTCGAAACTTACAAGCAGATCTTCTTGCTCCACATGTAGATCTTTGATCATTTCCAAGAAGTGGTATGAGTTTTGTACATGTGAAGCTGCTGTTTCAGCATGGGGCTGTAGCTGTTTTGCTAAGTATTTGGCTAGGTTTTGTAGTGGTGCTCCTCTGGAGCTGACTATGGGTCTCAGAGGTATGCCTTCTTTGTGTATTTTTGGGAGGCCGTATAGTTTGGGGCATCTGGAAGATTTTTCTCTTGGGATGATTGACTGTTGGATCTTTTTGCTCATGTGGCTGTTTATAATTTTCTTCTTGGTTAATTTTTCCAGGTATGTGGCTGGGTCTGTGTTTATGGGTTTATATGTGGAGTCTTGGAGTAGGTCTGTCAATTTTGTTTGATAGTCTTTTCTGTCCATTACTACTGTGGCATTCCCTTTGTCTGCTGGGAGTATGATTATGCTGTTATCTCTTTTCAGGGTTTGTAGCGCTTTAATTTCTTCTTTCTGCAAGTTGCTTTTGGGTGGTTTGCTTGTGCATAGGATGTTGGTAACTTGGTGTCTTATTTTATCAGCTTCATCTGTAATTTAATTTGGTTAGGCTGGATTCTACTGCACATATGATGGACTCTGTGGGGATTTTTTGGGTGCTATAGCATCATTGAATCCTTTGGTTAGGACATCTGTTTCTGTTTTGGTGAGTTCTCTGTTGGAAACGTTGTATACTAATTGCTTCAGGTGTTGTTGTGAGTTGTTGGGGGTTTTCTTGTCCTGTTCTAATTTCTTTAATTTTTCCAAGAGTTTATCATTTTTGTAAGTGCTTTCAGATTCAGCTCTCCAAGTTGTAAGTTGTTTAATTTTGTCCCAAAGTAGAGGGTGGATTTTGCTGCTCAAGTCCAGGTGTAGTGCTAGCAAGTCTTTGTTTAACTGATCTAATTGGAATCTCTTGCTGTGGAGCTCGTTCCTTAGTAGAGCCATTTCAGTTCTTTTCAGGATACGTTTAGTGGCTGCTGTGCTTTGATGAAATGTTAATTTGAAGCAGGTTGGTGTGGTATTGTTGTCTCTGCAGCTGCGTAGGAATTGGAGGTCACATAGTATTCCTGCTCTTTTAATTTCCAGTTTCTTGTAGGTTTTGATCTGGCTGTTTATTTCCTCCCATAGAGGTTTGATATTTGTTTTCTTAAGTTTTTATGGGTACTTACATCTATGGCATTCAGCTTTGTCCAGGTATTTTCCCACGTCATTGTAGTTGTGCTTTTAAAGTTGTAGCAACGTTTCAGCAGAATCTCATCTGCCATCATCAGGCTTCTGTATAGTGTTCATCTGAAACCACTATAAAAGCCTGACTCACAGATGAACACTATACAGAAGCCTGATCATGGCAGATGAGATTCTGCCGAAAAGTTGCTACAACTTTAAAAGCACAACTACCATGACGTGGGAAAATACCCGGACAAAGCTGAATACACACACACACACACACACACACACACACACACACATACATACACACATAGACACACACACATGGTATGACATAAAATCTTTTTTTTTTAATTTTGTAGTCTTCAGTTGCGTTTTGTTTTTTACAAACATTTTCCAGTAGCGATTTCTTACTGTGCTTGATGTAGTATAATAACTTAAGCTGTATTTTTCTTCTTACCTTGCTTGCTTTACCTAGAGTAGTTTCCTCTCACTTTTGGCAAAGTGAGCCTGCCAATATCACTTCTTGAGTGAAAAACATAATTCATGGTCATTAACTTTCTTGTTTTTATATCAATATGTCTAATTAATCTTGAGCGCATATGTTTTTAAAAACTAGTTCTTTTTTCTAGAGGAGGGGTTAGGGCTCTTCATCCACACAGCAACATTGACTTTCTTGTAAGCCATTTTAATCTTTGTGGTATTCAGTAAAGGAAGTGGGGAGGGAGGGAGGAAGAGAGGGAGAGAGGGAGAGGGAGAGAGATAGATTTTAAATTTAGTATATATTATTTAGGTTTCTGAATCCAGATT